CGGTTGTTCTATAATTGAAACAATGTTGCGGTCCTGCTGGCTGAAGCCTGGCTGGCTGAAAGCAGGTTTCTGGGGTTTTGTTTAGCTTCTATATTTGTAACAAAGTTTCAAACTGCAAGCTCAGAGGCCGGCAACCGCAAGTGGGGAATGTTGAATTCCTCCATCACTGAAGCAAGCCTCATGTTTGCTTCAAGCTGCCTGGCTGCCGGCCACCATCTTGGCTGGCAGTTAATTTGCATATCACCTTGATTAGCCAATGGGAAGGGTAGCGGAGATATGGCTAATTACCATGTTTCTCTTTTATTAGATAGGATGTTGGCAACATATTAAAACTGAAAGACACTATCAGTTAACCAAAATCCTCTTTTTGGGTTAATCAATTTTTTGGCTGCTTGTCTATAATCTTTGCTTTAGGAATTGATCTAAACCAAAGTGAGTAATCAGTGAGCTGTATGGCCTTAAAGGGCTCACTAAGTTATAGTGACAGAATGTAGATCAGTGGTTGCTGGAGGTTGGATGAGAAGGATTTCTAAGGGGCACACAGAAACTTCTAGAGATGATGGATATGTTCACTATCTTCATTGATGTGATGCTTTCATGATTACATATATGTCAAAACCTATCAAATTGTACATTTTAAATATGTGCCATTTATTTAATGCCAATTATATTTCAATAAAGCTGATTTTTAAAAACATATTTATAGCAGGAGTAGGCTGTTATCAATTCTTAATTCCACTGTTAAGTCATAGTTTTTAAACACGTTTTCCCATTCACATCACTAGAATCCATTCTAGAAGAATCCCAAAGAAGACAATTTAGAACTTTGCAACAGGTTTTTATTTTTGCTTTATTTCTATTACAGTGTTTGAATCTTAAAGAAATACATTTTCTCTTCAAATTTGGATGTGTATATAAATATCATTTGTCTGGACTCAGCACACTCAATGCCATGGTTTCTTGGCCTATGTCTGCTCTGAAATCAAGCTTTGTTGTCTACCCAGGGGCCCTGAGAACATAGAAAATAGCCAGAGTTTACAGTTCTTGGAAAATGAAAAGCAAATGACTTTGGAAAGGATAACCAGTGAGAAACAGGGTTCGATTCGCCTTTGCAGGGTCTGTACGGGGCACCCAAGCTGCTGTTGAGGGACATCTGGTTTGTCTTGGGTGCTGGGACCTCACGCCACCTTCGCTTCTGTAGTGGCTCATTCAAAGGCAGTTCCCACACAAGTTGGCTAAAGAGTCAACACCCAACTACAGGGCCTGAGGGTTCTCACAGATGTGGACTCTCTAAAGCCATGCTGAGTCAGAGGTTCCCAGTCAGCCTCAGGATCTGAGATTTGACTTCCTTCACTACTCCCAGCGAATGGCAAGGTATTGTCCTAAAACCCAGGGGCTGAAAATCTGACCTACACAGGGGAGCAGGGATCTAGCATTTAGCAGAGGGGTTCAGGTATGTTCTAACGTGGATATCAGCAGTCACGCTGGCCCAGAAATAGCGAGGTAGGCCCAAACTACACAAACCTATGTAACACTACACAAATCTTTCTCCTGTGTTGAGCCCAAAATTTAATGCTGCAAATATCCCAGGCCTGAGGCAAAATGCCCCCAAAGGAAATATAACAGCTTTAGTTCAGACTTGGCTGGTGTTGACCTCAAATTCTTCCCTTGCTATGGTCTTAATCCGAGGCTGGCGGATAGACAAAAGGATTACTGAATCATTTGTGAAGGCCTTGGCCAAAGAGCAGCTAGTGCCTATGACATGAATCCCCACAGGGTCAAAATCTCAGCTTGTTGGTTTAACAAAAGAATCCAAAAGTTAAGACACAGAAAAAATACTGGACAAGATTGGTCTAGAATCCTAAAACGGCGATGGAAGAAACCTACTCTGAGCATTTTCTCAGTCTCACACTCACTTGTAGAAGATGTTGTGACTGGTTATGAGCATTTTCCTGTGGCACTGGGCCTGGCACCCTTCCCCAGCCTGCCAGGGAGGCAGGCAGTCACACACATTCCTGAGGTCCCCGGGCAGCCTGTTTATCCTACAGGTCCCTGTAGGGCCTATAGGGACCTGGAGAATCTGCTTCCTGCCTTCATTTGAGAATCCAGAATCTGAGCCCACAAGACAAATCTACAGTTGAATACCCAAGATGATGGACACCAAGCTGAGTGAGTCTTGGGAGAGGATATGTAGCCACAACATATGAGCTGAGGCATTCAAAGAGGGAAGTACTGCCAGGCACTCATCTTCCCTTCTATTATGCTAGAAACAGGAGTAACTCTAGGATGAAGGGGAAGGCAGGCAGACACGAAAATGGAAACCCATTTCATTCTGTACACCGTTTTTCCTTTTAAGCTGGTTTGGCTTGAGAGAAAAGTCTGTGCCTGAGAGCCTGCTTTTGCTCGTCCTTGACTAATTATAGTAGCAGCTATAATCTGTGCAGTTCAGCTCCAAAAAATTGGGCTTCTGGAAAGTTGTTTCCAGAGCAAGGAGAATAAGTAGGAGGTAGACCTAAGGGTCCTAGGTAGGTAATGGGGAACACCAAGGGCTCCTGAAAGCGGAAGTCATTAACACCTGCTCCTTGGAAAGGCCATTTGTACCCAATGATCTAAGTAACCAGGCTGGCCAGCTGAGGTGGAACCCATGTGGTTCTATCAGAAGGTGCAGCCAACACCAAGACTGGGGAGACCTTAGAAATGTTGGCAGGCTTCTAGGGCAAGAGGCCCTGTTAGTACTGGAAAATGAAGAGGGGCTGGCAATAAAGAATAGCTGGCACTGTTCAAACAGTATTTGAATACTTTAGCTAAGAAAAAGGCTCCTTATCCCCTTATTCCACACCTAGAAACCTCTATCCCCACCAGAGATCTTAAAGTGGACATACCAGTCATGTGTCAACATATGAAGATTCCAAAACATGAATATCAGGCTACTCCCTATAGCAGCCTGGCAGGCCCTCCATCCCTGCAACACCCATTCAGAAATCTGCCTGAAAGCCTTTGACCTCACCTAGGCCAGGGTCTGGAGTCCAGATGGGAGCTGTCCATGAAGAGGGGCTGTCAAACCTGGCTTAAAGAAATATTACTTTGCTTCCCAAGATGGCCAAAGGAGAGGAGAAACACAAAGGAAACACTGCCTCTGCGGCTGGAAGAACTCCGCCTGTTGACGGAGGGGTTAGAGGAAGATCGTGGGAAAACGTGGTCTGAGGAAGACACCAACGAAGGAAAGCTCCGAGAGGCCCCTTTGAGCTGATGAGAATGTCCTCATGTTGTGCCCTGGGAGACTTCAGCCTTTGAGGAAAACTGGCTTTAAGCAGCAGCCAGAGGATCAAGTCTTCCATCTGGTACAGGGCCCAGATCTGAAGGGAAAGGAGATTTTGGAGGAAGAGTTGGGAAAAGCAGGGTGTGTAGGTCTCACAGTAAGAATCTGGTCCCAATGTCAGGGACTTAGCTATTGCTTAAGATGTACAAAGTGATCCCACTAAAGTGCTTTCTTTCCCCTTTGGACAAGGATGGGGGTGGGGTGAGAGTGGAGTTTTTCTCTGAACTATAGAATAGTCTGTAAGTCAGCAGGCCACGTGGGAAAGGTCCTGCCGCTTGCCTACCTGGGAGACTGGGGGCTGAGTCACATTCCTAAGCTGACGGGTAGCATCTGACACACTTGGTGACAAGCTGTAGCCTCATACCCCCTTTCTCAGAAAATGGCTATGGAGTTGGGTCTCAAACCAGAATGAAGGCAAATTCAAGGCTGACAGTGAGCACCTGAACCTTAGACCTGTAAGCAGCGGGCACGGGTTTCACCTGAGCCAGAGACGTGTAGGAACGGAAGCAAGAATGGCACTGTTTCTGGGGAAGGGAAAATACAGCTTAGAGCAGGGCACCTCTGACTGACCGACCACAGAGGAAAGCAGGGGCAGAGCAGGCTGTGCCCTTTCCAAGTTGGTCTGTACTTACTTATCTGACAACTTCCTCCACCCCATCCCCTACTGGGCTTTGCTCTCATATGTAATTCACAAAAGCACAGGCAAGCCATTGAGGCACTGCACTAGCTTTATTCAAAGAGAAAAGAAAAAAAGACACTAGGGTTATAATTGTCACAAGGAAGGGCAAAACCCAAACCAGGTACAAGGATCCCAAACAGGGAAGATACCGATAACTCTCACAAAAGTCCTGAGGCTGCTAAGTTTCTGTGATAATAGGAAAGTCAGCCGTGAGTGATAACTTATGTGAATAGGGGTCTTTTGAGACCAAATCTAAGAAGGCAGACACTTTCTGGGTTTTCTGATGCAAGCAGGATGCTCACAGTAAAGATTAGAGTGTTATACTTCACCACGCCCTGGGTCATCCTTGCTTCCTTCAGGTACTGGGCCAATCAGACCAGGCTGACATGCTACATAAAGGTTCCAGAGCTAAGGGTTGGTCCCCAGTGGTGGCCCAGAATCCAAGCAGAGAAGGAAAGGACCAAGCTCAGGCCTCCTGAGGGAGCTTCCACATTTCTTTGTGGTCTTCCTCACACTACCCTACTAACAGAAATTACAGTTCTTCCTCTCAAGACCAATTAAGATTGACCTACCTAATATATAGAATATAAAAAAATACAGAACTTTTTGACATTCTCTCCTTTGGAAATAAAATATACATGATCCAACTATGGAAGAGGAAGAAAGGCCAAAGGTAGGGATCCCTGGCTATCCCAATACATGACACTCTCACTCCAACCTCCTCTGCAACTTATGGGTCACCAGAGCAAGGACTTTCTCCTCAGGAGAAAGGAAGGATCACAGCCCCCTGTCTCGTGCTTAGGAGAAAATACAGCTACCTCAGAGGTTCACTCAGCTCCGAGGGGAATTTTCAAGTAAACAAATGAAGTTGGGTCGCACCATTGGAAGGTGGGTAGGAAACATGGGATCAGTAGCGACACATGGGAAGCCCCGTCTGAAAGGCCTGTGCTCCTCCCCTCCACTCCCACTAGTGAAGCTGCCCAGGAGAGTGAGGGGGATCTCCCAAACTAAAGAGGTCTGGGCAGAGATTAGAGGGGTGGGGGGAGGACCTTGTCCTATGGTGACCGCCCCCTCAGCCTCTAGTCCCAGACAATGCTGGCAGCTGGGATTCCTAAAACCAGGAACTCATGGTTCTTGGAAAGAGCAACCTTAATACAAGAAAAATGTGCAAAAGAAAAAAATTAAATAACTCAATCCAAGCATACAAGATTAATATTCTGTCAGAGCGAGAATACTTTTTTGGGATTTCTCTCCTCCCCTCCCACCTCCTACTTCTGGAATATTCCATCTGCTCAAGTACCCAAGATAAGAGTTACACAAATCATGGCAGAGAACTGGGAAGGATGAAGGAAGATAAAAGGGAAGGAAGTTACTACTAAAGAAAAAATAAACATAAAAAAGGTGCAAAATTGATTACCTCAGTCCTCCTTTGTCTACCCTGGGCTCCTGGGTTAAAGACATATGTGCAGCCAAAATAGAGTGTAAGGAAGAAAAACCCAACACGTCCCCTTCTTGTCACAAAACCCAAATAAGAGCCTCAGATGGTTCTGTCTGTCCAGAGGGTGCTCCCTCAAAGGGAAGGGGGTGGAGCAGGTCAAGAGCACAGTTTCCAGGGCAGCAGAGATGTGTGGTGGCTGGTGGGGGGGGCTGGTTTCCCGCCCACCAGAGGGCTGCTTTTCCGCTGGTTGGTGGTGCTTCCCATCCCATCCCCTCCCCGGAGGCAGACATTATAGCTGGAAGCCCTCCATGGGGGCCTCAGGCTGTTGGAAGATGAACTGCTGCTGTGTTTCATCCACTTGGGGAGCCAGGCTGCTATCATCATCTTCTACACCGAAGTAGTGCTCAATGAGGTCGAAGGCCTTCTGGTAGATGTCCTGGTTCTCATGGCTCTGGAGAAACTCAATTTTATCCAAGCCTACGGTGGTAACAAGGAAGGAGGGAGAGTCAACTTGCATAAGTGCTTTTCTATTTTCCTTTCCCCGAGGTATGTTGCTGTTTATAAATACAAGCAATATGATCGAATCTTTATCTTTTGACCTGAAAGAGGAAAGCTAAGATTTCCCTCCCAAATTACATAACCCCAAAGGAAAAATACCATATGTCAGCTATAAATCAGAGGTTCTAGTCCTGATTCTGCTTTTATTTTTTAAATTATTTTTAAAAAAATATTTGTATTGATTTCAGAGAGGAAGGAAGAAGGAAAGAGATATAGAAACATCAATGATGAGAGAGAATCATTGATCAGCTGCCTCCTGCACGCCCCCTACTGGGGATCGAGTCCACAACCCAGGCATGTGCCCTTGACTAGAATCAAACCTGGCCCTCTTTGGTCCTCAGGCCTCTGCTCTACCCACTGAGCTAAACCAGGCAGGGCGGACAGGAGCCCTTTAATACAAAACAGGCGTAATTAGCAAGTGGCTCCTACAACTGAACTGATCTACTGTCCCTGAGAGGAAGAAGGAACTGATGAGATAGAACCTTGCATTCAATGATGACTTTAAAACATACACCCTCACATACGTGTACTACTTTGGAGGCGTACAGTCCGAGACTCTGCCCTATAACCTCTCTACTTAAGTCAGAGATAAAGTTGGGAAAGGACACATACCATAGGCTTCTTCGATGAGGCCACAGTAGGGATTTACTCCTGAGCCACTGCGCTTGCTCTCTTGTTCTCCAAGCCGAAGGATGTTCTCCAGTCCATTGAGGGCCACTTGAACAATCTTTGAATCCATTACAGTCAGCAAATCACAAAGGGGTTTGATGCAACCCAGTGATACCAGGTACCTGAAGACCAGAAACCAGGCAAGTTCTAAAATTAATGCAAGGCCAGGGGGAGGGGAGAAATGAGTGGGAACCCTGAAGTTTAAAATATAAGGATGATGCTAGGGTCGAATTTTTCTAACCAATCAATGGAAAGTTAGCAGGTCATATATTAACCCTTAGACAAAGGAACTGCCCTGAATCTGTTCGGGTCCTCTCCCTGCAGCAGGGAGCTTTTCTGTAATAAACCTTTACTTTAGCTAAAAAAAAAAGAAAAAGAAAAAAATGAATGCAGTGAAAGAGAGGTGCTTAGGCAGGTACTATGATGCCTGTGGATCTCCTTCATGCATGTCAACATGCTCAGCAATCCACTCTTACTGAGTGTTTATAACCACCCATCCTTTATCTCAATCTCTCTATCTTCCCAATGTTAATGGTCTAGTTCAGCCATTTTCAACCTTTCCCACACATGAATTACTAAAATTCTGTGGCACATAAAAAATATAATTTTTGCCTGACAAAAATGAAAGGCATAATTTTGATTCATTCACACCAGACAGCTATTGTTGTATTGGCTGTTGTCAATTTTATTTGACAATCTAAGGGGAAAAGGGGTCAGTGCCCTTGACTAAATAGGTACTTCATGTTTTTTTTTTGTTTGTTTTTAACACTTTTAAAAGAGATTTTAAATTGATTTTTAGAGAGAGAGGAAGGGAGAGAGATAGATAGAAACATTGATGAGAGAGAAACACCATTGATTAGCTGCCTCCTGCACGCCCTCTACTGGGGATTGAGCCTGCAACTGATCACACCCCACTCTGGAGCTTAAGCCCGCAATCCAGGCATGTGCCCTGACTGGGAATCAAACCGTGACCTCCAGGTTTATAGTCGACATTCAACCACTGAATCACACAGCTGGGCACACCAGCTTGTAGCACACCAGTTGAAAATCGCTGGTCTAGTTCATTTCCATGTGGAAGGCTACCATGATTCCTTCTCCTCATCTCTAATGTCTCCTTACTGCAATATTACCACTCTGAACACATCATTTCTCTGCTTAAAAGTTTGCACAGTACAAGCTTTACAGGCATGACAATATAGACCCTCTATAATCTGGCTTCTACCCTCCTCTTCTAGCTTCGCTTCCCATCATTCCCTTCTAAATACTCTACATTCCAGTCAAACATGTAAAAGTCTCCAAGTGCCCTAGCTGGTTTGGCACAATGGCAAAATCCCCTAATCTTCTTGTCATTAAGTGGTGAATGACTGTACTGAATATATCCTCTTACTAAGGGTAAGACACTTGCCTAATTCCCACCACTCCTATTCATATTGATAATGGAAACTAAAAAAACAACAACAAAAAACAAGCACACATACACAAAATACTTTCTTCTTGTTTCTCCCAAGTATTACCCCCCAAAATGATTTCCTGAAGAAGCTGATGCGAATGAACCATAACATGGCTCTCCTTCATTTGCATGGATAATTGACAATTACATATAGTCTCTGGTGTGGAGAATGAGGTAGGAGACAGAAGTCTGTATCACAGATTTCTGTTCTCCAGGAGAGAAAAGAGGTACATGGTCTATAGGTATCTATTCCAGACTCCAGTGCCACTCTAGCAGTTTATCAGTTAGAACCTATTGCAGCTGCCTATCCAGTTCAGTGTTTGAGCGTTGATCCATGCACCAAGAGGTTGCTGGTTCCATTCCCAGTCAGGGCACATGCCCAAATTTCGGGCTTGATCCATAGAATGGGGTATGTAGGAGGCAGCCAATCAACGATTCTCTCTCATCACTGATGCTTCTATCTCTCTCTCCCTTCTTCTTTGAAATCAATAAAAATATATTTTAAAAAAGAAAAGAAAAGGAGAGTATACATATCACTCCAGACAAGGGGGGAAAAACATGATACCTGATCTGCTCAGGGGTTCCTCCAGATGTGGCATTGGTGATGGCCCAGGCTGCCTCTTTCCTTGTACGGAACTCTGCTTTCTGAAGAATTTCGATCAGCACAGGGAAGATGTTTGTATCTATGACAGCCTGAGAGAGGATTGGGGTGGGGATGGGGAGGAGAAAGTAAGTCACTTCAAGAAGAGAAATCAAATCCAGCCCACAAATCAGCTAAGATTGAGACCTCTTCCCTTCCTGGGAGTCTTCCTTTGTTCTTGTTATGTAGATGAGAGACTGCGGGGGAAACTGGCTTCCACTACACAGAATCTTTGACCCCAATTTCTAAAGGGGAACAAATTCTTCTAGAAGCAAATATCCTACAACCTCTCATGTCCCCATGCCTTCCCACCGGACGTGCCCGCCTCGACCTCCCTTCTGCTTGTCCTACCTGTATTTGAGCCCTGTTGCCAGCGGTGATATTTGAAATGGTCCAGCAAGCTTCTTTCCGGATTGACTCCTTGGGGCTGCTCAGCAAGTGGAGGAGGCAAGGGAGCGCCGAACAGTTGAGAATGACCTAGAACACCAAGCACAGGCAACAAAACAGATCAATGGACTTAATCAGAATTTAACACTTTTATGCATCAGAAGATACCATCAATAGAGTGGACAGCTAAATCACAGAACAGGAGAAAATATATGCAAAACAAATACCTGGTAAGAATTAATATCAAGAATATATAAAGAATTTTGCCCTGACCGGTTTGGCTCAGCGGATAGAGCGTCGGCCAGCAGACTCAAGGGTCCCAGGTTCGATTCCGGTCAAGAGCATGTACCTTGGTTGCGGGCACAGCCCCAGTGGGGAGTGTGCAGGAGGCAACTGATCGATGTTTCTAACTCTCTATCCCTCTCCCTTCCTCTCTGTAGAAAATCAATAAAATATATATTAAAAAAAAAACAACAACCCAGAAAATACAAGTGTTGATAAGGATATGGAAAAAACCGGAACCTGGTACGTTGAGGGTGGGAATGCAAACTGGTATGGCTACTGTCCAAAACCCTATGGTGATTCCTTAAAATATTACACATAAAATTATCATATGATCCAATAATTTCCACTTCTGGATACATATCCAAAAGAACTGAAAGCAGAAACTCAAACATAACTTGAACACCAATGTTCAATGCAGTATTATTCACAATAGCCAAGAGGTGAAAACAACCCAAGTGTCTATCAACAGATGCATAAAATGCATAAACAAAATGTGGTGTATGCATACAATGCAATATTATCTATAATAATAAAAGCATAATATGCTAATTAGACCAAATGTTGTTCCGGATAACCTTCCAGACGAAGCTGGGGCTGCGAGGGAAGCCCGGGTCCTGGGTGCCAGAGGGAAGTCGGTGCTGGCAGCGAGGGGAAGGAAGGCCTACTCTTGCACAAATTTTGTGCATCGGGCCTCTAGTTTACACATAAAAAAGAATGAAGGTCCGACACATGCTATAATATGAATGAACCTCAAAGACATTATGCTAAGTGAAATAAGGTGACACAAAAGAACAAATATATATGGTTCCACTTATATGAGGTACCTAGAGTAGTCAAACTCACGAAGAAAGTAGTATTGTGGTTACTAGGGGCTGGGGGGAGGAGGAAATGGGGAGTTATTATTTAATGGGTAGACATTCAGTTTGAAATTATGGAAAAACTAGAGGCCCAATGCAGGAAATTCATGCAAGAGTAGGCCTTCCTTCCCCTGGCTGCCGGCACAGGTTTCCCTCTGGCACTCAGGACTCGGGCTTCCCTCGCAGCCCTGACTTTGTCCGGAAGGACGTCCGGTCTAATTAGCATATTATGCTTTTATTATTATAGATTGTAAAAATAGATGGAGCCCTAACTGGTTTGGCTCAGTGAATAGAGCATCAGCCTGCGGACTGAAGGGTCCCAGGTTTGATTCAGGTCAAGGGCATGTACCTTGGTTGCGGACACATCCCCAGTAGGGAGTGTGCAGGAGGCAGCTGATCGATGTTTCTCTCTCATCGATGTTTCTAACTCTATCTCTCTCCCTTCCTCTCTGTAAAAAAATCAATAAAATATATTAAAAAGAAAATGGATGGTGATGGTTGTTGAGTAACAATGTGAATGTACTTAATGACACTGAAATGTACACTTGAAAATTGTTAAACCATGCCCTAACCGGTTTGGCTCAGTGGATAGAGCGTTGGCCTGAGGACTCAAGGGTCCCGGGCTCGGTTCCGGTCAGGGGCATGTACCTTGGTTGCGGACACATCCCCAGTAGGGAGTGTGCAGGAGGCAGCTGATCAATGTTTCTCTCTCATCGATGTTTCTAACTCTCTATCCCTCTCCTTTCCTCTCTGTAAAAAATCAATAAAATATATTAAAAAAAAAAAAGAAGAAAAAAAAAATTGTTAAACCAGTAAATTTTATGAATGAATATTTGCTCACATACGCACACATAAGAATGGCCTAGAAAATGAGTGTGGGTTTGATCACCCATAAAAAACTGTCAAGAATCCCACAGAATTATGTCAACTACTTAAGACTCAAAGAAAACCCAGGTTTCTAGCCTTTGAACAGAGGAGAACCCGTTTACTGTGCCCTCCCTGTCTACATTAACAGGAGGTAGTGTCCCTATAGGATCCTAAGGTCTAGGAAGTAGGGGTAAGCTTTCATACCTTTTAATATCTTGAAAGGACCAGGACTCAAAAACTGTTAACAGTTAGCTTACAATGTCCCAGGTACTAAGTTAGATTAATTTAATGTTCCTTCAAAAGCACAGAATGAATGATAATTTGCTTCTAATTTATAGAAAAAAAATGAAGGCAACCAAGTTGCCCGTGATCATATAGCAAGTGGCAGAGTTGGAAATTTTCACCCAAGCCCATGCTCTCTCTCCTAGTCTATGCTGCCTCCCATCAGCCCCAAAGTTCTTGGTAGGGAAGGGTTTTGTCACAGGCAGCTCTCTTCTTCCTTACCTGGGTTTGGATGTCATCCCCAGTGACGATGTTACCCACAGCTCTCAGGGCAGGAGAAGCCACTTTGTAGTCATTATGCCTGCAGAGGAGGGGGAACTGGTGAGTAAAAAACAGTACATAGTACTCAGCCCTGCTGACCACCAAGGCTGACAGCGCTCTCATGGCTCCAGATCTTGGGATAGGGCAGCAGTTCCTTATTCTGAGCTTGGAAAAGATTAGGCAGCCCTAGTTAGTTTGGCTCAGTGGCTAGAGCATCGGCCTGCAGACTGAAGGGTCCTGGATTTAATTCCGGTCAAGGGCACACGCCTGGGTTGTGGGCTCAGTCCCCAGTAGGGGGCGTGCAGGAGGCAGCCAATTGATGATTCTCTCTCATCATTGATGTTTCTCTCTTTTTCTATCCTTTCCTCTCTGAAATCAATAAAAATATGTTTTTTAAAAAAAGAAAAGATTAGGGAATCTGTACCCATTCTGAGACCACTCACATTAGGAGCTCTACCAATCTCCTGCAGACTCCAGAGTCTATGACCGCCTGGATCTTCTCATTGGGACCATCAGACAAATAAGAAAGGGCCCAGCAAGCATCTGCTAGCAAATCTGAGTCACTGCTGAAGAGGAGGCGAGACAGCACAGGCAAACAAGGGGAGACCTGTTGGAAGCAGAGTGAGAGGGGCTCACAGGGGGATAGTTATATCAGCTCTACTACTACTAACACTGCTCTCCCCGCCTCTACAAGTAATTCTATGCCCTGGACATCCCTACAACATTAAGCCATCAGGCCTACCTTTTCACTTTCCCATCTATGCACACAAGATTACCTACTTCATTGACAATAGCCTTTCTCAGTCTCTCATAGGTTGAGAGACCCATAGGAGTTCCCCAAAGACTTGTAAACTCCCACATAAAAATTCATCCACATGAAGAAACCTGCTATCCCTCAGGAACCGGTAAGACACTCTCTCACCATTGCAAACTCTGGAGGTGGGTTCTTCCCTCGGCAGAGGTTTGACAGGGCCCAGACTGCATTCCGTGTCATTGTCAGTCGTGTGGATTTTGTAAGGAGCCTGAAAGGGGAAAAAACAAAAGCCAGATCCTGAGCAATGATGTCCTTGGCATAGGGTTGTTGCAAATGAACCCCAGGAGCAAATCCAATTAGATCCCTAAGACTCCAGCAGCCTCAGTTTCTTCCTACCATAGACCTAAGTTAATAGCCTGTTTGTGCTGGGAGGCCAACCTGAATGCCCAGAGGGTTATGATATGAGATTGTGCTCTCTGAAGAACAGTTCATCCATTTATTTGGTTTAAATGTAATGTAGCTCTACTTTAAGGGATGGGGGAAGGGTCCAGGTGACTTTTCATAGCAACTCTGACCTGCGGTTTACAACAGAGCTTTCCAATGTCCCTATGCATAAACCCATCGCAAATCAATGTATTCTGCAAAGAAGGCTAGATTTTCCACGATGGGCTAATCCTGCCTCTCTCCCTGGCTCAAAAATAAGGCAGGTATGATCAACGTAAGATTCCATGGTGCCATGAAGTGAGGAAGCGCAAGATCCACCTTGCCACAGACCAGCAGCACAATCTTCATGCTCTTAAATGATACTTTTTATTTTGGCAATCAAAATGTACTTTTTATCTTTACTTACCATCTTGAGGGAAGTTCCCCCAAAAGAACTACCACATGGCTGCCCTACAGATGCCTCAGGTGCAGGTGATCATTAGTTACTCACGTTAACAAAGGATTAAGGATGGAACAGTTCAAGACGTAATCTCGGCAAACGGAGCTGTCTCCAGCTATGTTTCCCAGTGCCCAGACTGCCTGAAAAGGGGATGATGAGACTGTCACCTACAGAACCTAATGGTTTCTTTATACTTACAACCATAGAGTGAGTACCCACTAATAATCAGATGAAAACCATATAGAGGCCCAAGACACACTGAATAAGCTCAGGTGCCATCTCTGTTGACCCTTTTTTATTTTTGATGTAGTTTTGTTTTTTTCATCCTCACATGACGATATATTTTTAATTGATCAAAAAAAATTTTTTTTAGAGAGGAAGGGAACGAGAGGGAGAAACATCGGTATGAGAGAGAAATATGGACTGGTTGCTTCCCCTACACACCCCAACTGGGGACTGAACCCGAAACCTGACCAGGAATCAAATCCAACCCAGCCAGGGCCCTTTTGGTGTCTTTTATGAGCACTTGCTCTATGACGGCCTTTATTATGAGGGTTCCTGGTTCAGTGGCCAAGACAGGCTGACCTCTGTACTACAGCCAGAGAAGCCTAACCAAGACCTTTCTAGCCCCACCCCCACAAAAGGCGAAAGTGATTGAAAAGGTGCACTCTTATATTCTCACAGGACCAACCTTACTGTAACGGAGGGGAAAAATCCCAGTACCACCCTCTACTTCTAGCCAACAGCAAACATCCAGTGGAAGAAATGGAAGCTGTATCTTTCTCTCTATGATCTGTAGGTACTGAGAAGTAGGTACAGGGGTATCTTTTCTCCACTACCACCTCTAATGCCAAATGTGTGGAGTTTTTCCACACCAAGTGCCCAACAAGTCAACTAAATTCTAAGACTAACTCTTGGAGTTAGCGCAAACCCTACAGGTTAAAGCTCAGTCCACAACACTGCCCCCACTTTAGACACTAGGCACCACACACTGGCTATAAATTTGAGAGTTCCCACAATCTCCTTCTCAGGCTCAGTAATTCACTAAAGGTTCACAGAACTCAGGGAAACACTTTAGTTATTTACCAGTTTATTATAACGGCTACAACGCAGGAAGAGCTAAATGAAAGCGATGCATAGGGCAAGGTATGGGGTGAGGAGTGGGGGTGTCACAGAGCTTCCATGTCCTCTCCAGGCTTCCCATCTTCCCAGCATATTGATGTGTTCACCAAGCTGGGAGCTCTCTAAATAATCGCTGTTCAAGAGTTTTTATAACCAGATCTCTAGCACTCCTAACCTTCCTGGGAGGTGGGGGTGGATGGGTGGGAAAGGTGTTGGGAGTTGGGGCTGAGAGTTCCCACCCTCTAATCCTATGTCTGGTTGTTCTGATGACCAGCCACTCCCCTTCCCCCCAATCCTGAGATTAAGGAGCCACACCCTGAACCACCTCATTAGCACAGACTCAGGTATGTTCCAAAAGGGCTCATAATAAATAACAAAAGACATTACTATCACTCAGAAAATTTGAAGGATTTTAGGAGCTTTTTGTCAGAACTGGAGGCAAAGACCAAACATATTTTGTATTATACCACAGGTACTATCAAGAATTAAGCCAGCCTTGGCTGGTGGGTTGCTCTGTTGGGCACTGTCCAGTGCACCAACAGGTTGCTGGGAATGGTTCGATTCCCACCGGGGTTTCTGGCTCAATCCCTGGTAGGGGGCATGCAAAAGGCAGCTGATTGATGTTTTGCTTTCACATAGATGTTTCTGCCGCTCCCCTCCCACCTCTCCCTCTTTAAAAAAATCAATTAAAAATATCTTTTTTTAAAAAAGAATTAAACCAGATTTGAGCATTACCTGTTCCTGTACATCCTCAAAGTCCGAGTTAAGCAGCTCTATAAAAATGGGGACAGCCCCTGCTTCAATGACAATTTTGGTCTGCTGAGAGGTTCCAGAGGCAATGTTGGTTAGAGCCCAGGCAGCTTCAAACTGAAAGTGAGATTAAACCATCATTGAGAAGTCATTCCAGACAGGGCAGCTATGCCTACCAGCTGGCTCAGGCAGTAAGCCTCTTGTTCCTGACTGATAGATAGATAGATAGATAGATAAATAAATCAAAACACAGGCCTTTTCCGCTCCCCCTTTAAATGGTAGGAAGAGGTATTGGCAGTGAAATAACAGAATGGGAAGCCAGGAGTGGGCCTCAATGGTCCCGGTCTAGACCTGCACTACTACAGCATCAATTAGTCCTTCAGGAAATAATTTTTTTATTTCCCAAGATTCACTTTCTTCATTACTGAAACCAGGATTAGCGTGTGCTGGATCTCTCAAAGTCTCTTTCAGCTGAGTTTCTAGCAAGTTCCAACAGACTGACTCACCACCCATTTCTGAGAAAAAAAATCCAGAGGCTAAATAATTTGCCTCAGGTCACACAGGTAATGTGGAAGTGAACTGGAACCTCTAATTTATAACTGAACAGTCCATCTGTTATATTCTGGTATCTTTCTTTCACATTATTTTAGAGAAGAGATCTGGGCTCTCTTATTTGAGGCTAAGACTTTTGAGCAACAGACAGATAGCTTCTCTTCAATGTTTCCTCACATTACTTGTCTATTTCCTAAGAGATGTGTCTATAGCAACATCGCACTGCAATTTCTTTGAAGGAGGGCTTTCATCTGCTACCATTCCACCCAGAGCGCACCTGTAATGTACAATTCTCATTCCTCTTCAGAAACTCCACAAACCGATCCACCACTCCTGGCGTGTTGATAACTTCATCTATAGGAGGGCTAGGCTCTGGAAGAGGGGAAAGGAAGAAGAGGAAAAGTCAGGATAGGCTTTGGCTGATGCATCCACTGGGGTCAACTCACCATCCTTCCTAGATGCTCCTGACCATCCTTATGAGCATGCTCAAACTCCTTTTGGGTGAGGTGGTTTTCACAACAGTTGGTCATCTCTGACCTCTATGAAGCAGTGGGCATGCTAAAGAGTAAAGCCTATCCTAATTTAAGTATACTCACCTTTGGCTGACTGAACCTAAGCAAGTAAGTGACCTTACTTACCTAAGCAAGTAAGTAAGGGAGAGAAGAAAGCACAAGGGATGAGCAACCCTAGTCTACACATTTTCCTTCTAAGACCAGCATTCCTTTATTGGGAGAGCTGCTTCATATACTGAGACAAGTATTTTTACTATCAAATTTTTACTGAGCATGAACAATGTGCCCGACACAGTTCTAGATACTGAGGATACAGTAGTGAACAAAACCAAAAGTCTCTGTTCTCACAGAGCTTACATCCTAGTGAGGAGAGAGATTCTGTTGATAGAAGGTAATAAATATAATGAGGAAAAAAAGAATAGGTTGGGCAAGGTAAAAAGATTAAAAATGCCAAGGGTTGGGAGAAGGCCTGTAATTTTAAATAGGATATCAGGGTAGGCTTCATCAAGAAGGTAGGATCTGATCGCAGAAGTGAGGGAGCTGTCACACAGCTATGTCAGGTAGAGGGTATCAGGTAGAAGGAATAGCCAGTGCAAAGGTAAAAATGTGCCTGGCTTCTCTAAACACCAAAGCAGAATGAGTGAAGGGGGGTAGGTTGATGAGGTCGGTGAGAAGAAACAAGACACTAAATAATGTAGTTGGTCTCTTTGGGGGTGGGCCAGGCTTTGTACCTTTAGAGAGCAGTTTCCGGAATTTCTGTGTGGTTGCTAACTGCAGGTCAGAGTCATCAGAAAAGAGCATCTCTACCATCTCTCTTGTGATCACACTCTCCTAGAATATAAAACAGGTTCAAGGCTTTGCAAACCAACACTAGAGTCAGACATGAGCACATAATCCTGTGTGGCATCCTACTTTGTAAAGAGTTGAGGGCAAGAGGACAGCATAACAGACAGACTCAGGAGAATGTGCTGGTTTAATCCATGGCTGCTTCAAGTCGGGACATTTGAAAAATAATTCCTTATTTTTGAGGCAACTGATGGCTTCCTTTTAAGTGTTTCCTAAGGTGTCTCTATTAGAGATAAATCCTTGAGGTCTCTTAAAGCTGACCAACTACAAAAGGGCCGTGGAAGAAAGAGCTTTGCATGGCTGTGAGCAAAACTACTAGATGATGTGAACTGCCCAATTTCTGTTTTGTAGAAGCAGGTACTTCCCAGGCCTGCCCGAAGCAAGGGCCTTACCCCAGTGGTAGAGCTCACGTAGGAGTCCATGAGGAGACTATCGAACATGGCAGCTTCTTCATTAATCATCTCTACATTTCTCCGTTTAAATAGCTGCAAGTGAAGAGAAGAGATGGTGGTAAGACTATTCACTGAAACAACAACAACAACAACAAAGAATAACCTAATGTTAAATTATGGCAAAACGGTCAAGGAAATGCTAGCATGGTTAAGAAAATGCCAAGTTTAACATACTGGCATAGAAAGATATTCAAGAGCTTTACTTTCTATTTTATCTAACTATTTTCATTTTTATAAGCAAAAAAATCTTTAAAGATTCTAATGCCCTTTGTATAAAAGGTGAAGAGTATAAAAGGCTTTAAAGGAATAATGGTAAAGCAAGAGGGTAGGCAAAAGCAGGTTAGGTGACTACATGTAGGTTTGGGCAAGGTACCAATTTAGTGGGTGTGTGAAAGAGCACAAATGGTGAGGTATTAATATACTCTCAGTCCTAGGGAGACTTACAAAGAATGGACCCAGGAAAGAGAAATAAGGCAGCCCAGAATAGCGGATGAACCTCTTAAAAAGTCAGGCTTGGAGCTAGGCCTTGAAGGCCAGGCCTAACACTGACTTTAGGGTAAAGAAGAGAGAAGGCAATAAATAGGGGTCTAAAACCAAAATGTTATATTGAAGACAGAAATGATGCTGCTGTTATAAAAAAAGAATAAGGGATTGATTTTCTCTTCCTTTTTTTTTTGTTTAAATATACTTTATTGATTTTTTACAGCGAGGAAGGGAGAGGGACAGAGAGTTAGAAACATCGATTATGAGAGAGAAAGATCAAGATCAGCTGCCTCCCGCACACCCCCCACTGGGGATGTGTCCGCAACCAAGGTACATGCCCTTGACTGGAATTGAACCTGGGACCCTTAAGTCCGCAGGCAGATGCTCTATCCATTGAGCCAAACCAAGTAGGGCTGATTTTCTCTTTCTCAAAGCTACAACAAAGGAAGCCGTTGTAGCTTAGCTACTTTCCTAAAGGGAGGGTGAGAGTGCAAGGTGGAGGCCAATCATGGCAGCTGGATCCTTTCTCTGAACAATATGTTTAAGAATACTCTGGGCCCTGGCCAGATAGCCCAATTGATAAGAGTGTTGTCCCAATATGCCAAGGTTATGGGTTTGATCCTCACACATGGCACATAAGAATCAACCAATGGTACTAGTAGGTGTGGTCTAGTGGTTAGAGCACCAAAGGGTCACCCTTTAATCACAGCTAAGGTCATGTACCTGTGTTGCAGGTTTGATTCCTGGTTCCAGTTGGGGCGTGTGCAGGAGGCAACCAATTGATGTGTCTCTCTCACATCAATGTTTCTCTCTTTCCTGTTCCTCCCTTCCAATCTCTCTGAAAAAAACAAACAAAAACAATCAATGGAAAAAATATCCTTGGGAAGCCCGGCCAGCATGGCTCAGTGGATGAGTGTTGACCTACGAACCAGGAGGTCACGGTTTAATTCTAAGTCAGGGCATATGCCCAGGTTCCAGGCTTGATCCCCAGTGTGGGGCGCACAGGAGGTAGCCGATCAATGATTCTCTCTCATCATTGATATTTCTATCTCCCTCTCCCTTCCTCTCTGAAATAAAAAAAATATAAGTGGAACAAATTGATGTTTCTCTCTCTCTCTCTTTAAAAACATATAAAAGAATAAATTTGAAAAATAAAGAATATTCGGGTTAACCCACTTGTTGCTCCCGCTTCTGCTTCCGAAGCTGAATGCCCTCTTCCTCTCTTCTTCGCCTCATTTCCTCAGGGTTTAGGGCATTGTTCTTATAGCTCTTCATCCGATAATTGTCTTTCCCTGGGCTTGCCATGGTCTCTAGAAGAAGAGAAGATACAAACACATTGGCAAAGGCTCTTAAGAAGACACTTCCTTTTCCCTGGGCTCCTGTCTCTACCCACCCTCCCTTACTCAGGGAGACCACAGATTCCCAAGGAAGCATAATAATCTCATTAACCACACTTGACACCTCTACCACCACCAAAACAGTTTCCTTTAATCATAATAAGCTGGTTAAATTAAGTGTAATTTTAGCAATTGATATAAACATAATAGTTAAATGTGTAGGCCTGGAGGCAGTTTGTGAGGGTTCAAATTCCGGCTCTCTGCTTCTTAACTGTGCAAACCTTCAATAAGTTGCTTTAACCTCTATGCTGTAGGATCTTAGCTTTCAAACAGGGACATAATAGTTCCTACTTCATAGAGTTGTTAGAAAAATGCCCTGGCCGGGCAGTTCAGTTGGTTAGAGCAGTGGTTCTCAACCTTCTGGCCCTTTAAATACAGTTCCTCATGTTGCGACCCAACCATAAAATTATTTTCATTGCTACTTCATAACTGTGATGTTGCTACTGTTATGAATCGTAATGTAAATATCTGTTATGCAGGATGGTCTTAGGCGACCCCTGTGAAAGGGTCGTTCGACTGCAAAAGGGGTTGCGACCCACAGGTTGAGAACCGCTGGGTTAGAGTGTCGGCCCAACATGCCAAGGTTGTGGGTTTGATCCCTGGTCAGGATACATACAAGAATCAACCAATGAATTCATAAATAAACAGAACAAAAAATTGACGTTGCTTTCTCTCTCTCAAATCAAAAAAAGAGAGAGAAAAATTAAATAGGTTAATACATGTGAAGTACTTCTTAGAACATAATATGGTAAATGCTCATAAGCTATGATCACCTCCATGATGAGAAAGTTATATGACTTGCCCAATAAACTCAAATATATTTAACCTAGCCAAATGAAATAATTATAGTACCTACAAATTCAGTGGAATACCACGTATTGTTTAAAAAGGACCCAATTTTAAAATGAATCTGTAATATTTGATACATACAAAAGGAAACACTGTTGTTACCAAACAAAATAATACAGTGAGAATCTGTAAACCCACCACCAAATCTAAGAACTAGAATATTAATATGCCTGGGCAATGGCTGGGTAGCTTGTTGGTTAGAGAGTCATCCGATATGCTGAGGTTGCACAGGACAACTCTCTAACCAACTGAGCCACACAGGCTACGGCGCACCTTTTTTATGGAGCTGTATTTCATTCATTTTTCTTGTTACATTATTTCATTGCATAAATGTATCATAATTTAACCATTTTTATTATGCTGGTCTTCCACTCCCAACCCCCACCCCCATTTTATTCTATTATAAACCTTTTGGAAAGTCGTTGGGCTTAAATGGTAGATATAAGTTTTCTGAAATTCTTTATTTGCTTGGAAGCTAAAATTTTATCATTGGCAACAAATACTGACTTACTTCTTTTTTTTTCTTTTTAAATCCTCACCTAAGGATATTTTCCACTGATTTGAAGAGAGAGGGAAAGACTGAGAAAAATATCGATGTAAGAGAAACACATCAATTGGTTGCCTCTTGCACACACCTCAACGAGGGCCCAGGCCAGGAAGGAGTCTGCAACCAAGGTATGTGCCCTTGACCAGAATCGAACCCGGGACCCTTTAGTCCGCAGACCGACGCTCTATCCACTGAGCCAAATTGGCTGGAGCGTGACTTCTTGCATTTTAAGAAAATGTCTGCCCAATACCTAAGTGTGAATAATGAGTTTTTCTGTCAGTCATTCTTTCAAGTAAAAACAGTGATGTTTTAAAAATGTCTAGTTTAGCCCTAGCTGGTTTGGCTCAGTGGATAGAGCGTCAGCCTGCGGACTAAAGGGTCTCAGGTTCGATTCCGGTCAAGGGCACGTGCCTCGGGTTGCGGGCGTGGTCCAACGTGCAAGAGGCAGCCAATCAATGATTCCCTCTCATCACTGATGTTTCTATCTCTCTCGTCCTCTCCCTTCCTCTCTGAAATCAATAAAAAAATATTTTTTAAATCAGTGGGTAGCTAAATCTCTGATATCTCTCATAGCAATATGTTTACAGATACAACTCCTAGGGCAAAGGAAATAAGGGAGAAAATAAATAAATAAATTGAACTACATCAAAGTAAAAAGCTTCTGCACAGCAAAAGAAACCATCAAAAGAACAAAAAGGGAGCCCACTGTATGGGAGAATATATTTGGCAATGATATATCTAATAAAGGGTTAATATCCAAAATATATAAGGAACTCATACAACTTAACAAAAGGAAGATAAACAATCCAATTAAAAAATGGGCAAAGGACCAAAATAGCTATTTCTCCAAAGTGAATATACAGATGGCCAAGAGACATATGAGAAAATGCTTAACGTCATTGATCATCAGAGAGATGCAAATTAAAATGACACTGAGGTATCATCTCACACCTATCAGAATGGTGGTAAGGATGTGGAGAAAAGGGAACCCCAGTACACTGCTGAGGGAATGCAGACTGGTGTAGCCATTATGGAAAACAGTATGGAGTTTCCTAAAAAAAAAAAAAAAAAAAAAAAAAAAAAAGAAATGCAGACTGGTGCAGCCATTATGGACAACAGTATGGAGTTTCCTCAAAAAAAAGTAAATATGGAACTGCCATTTATCCTAGTGATCCTACTTCTAGGAATATATCCTAAGAAACTCAAAACAAACAATCAGAAAGAATATATGCACCCCTATGTTCATAGCAGCATAATTTACAATAGCTAAGATCTGGAGACAGCCCAAGTGCCCATCAGTAGGAGTGGATAAAAAACTGTGGTACATTTACACCCTGGAATAGTATGCAGCAGTAAAAAAGAAGAATCTCTTACCCTTGAAAACAGCATAGAGGGACCTGGAGAGTATCATGCTAAGTGAAATAAGTCAGTCAGAGAAAGACAAGTATCACATGCTCGGGTTGTGGGCTCCATCCCCAGTCCAGGAGGCCCGCAGGAGGCAGTCAACCAATGATTCCCTCTCATCGCTGATACTTCTATCTCCCTCTCCTTTCCTCTATGAAATCAATAAAAATATATTTTTAAAAAACAAACAAACAACCTAGGAATCCACCAACAGATAAATGAACAAAATGTGACATATACATAAAATGGAATATTATTCAGCCATAAAAAGGAATGAAGGTCTGACATATGCTACAAATATAATATGCTAATTGAAAGAAATCAGACACAAAAAGGCAAATATATGATTCCACTTATATGAGGTAATTAGAGTAGTCAAACTCATAAAGACAGAAAATAGATTAGAGATTATCAGATACTTGGGGAGGGGGATATGGGGAATTATTGCCAATTGGGTCGAGTTTCTGTTTGGGGTAATGAAAAGTTTGGAAATAGTGGGGATGGTGGTACAATATTGTAGATGTAATTAATGCTACTTAATTGTATACTTCAAAATGGTTAAAATGGTGAATTTTGTTATATTTTACCACACACAATTTTTTTTAAGATTGTAGCATACCTCCTGCAATTAAATCTGACATGGAATCCCTGTTCTATGTTTTCTTAGTTTCTGTGTTTAGCTATTTGCATTCATTCATCACAGAGCTAATTAAACTAACTGTATGTTCTTATTTTCTATATTCTTGATATTCTGGTATTTGGGAGCCTTACAGACTCAGGGAGAGACTGCCCCTCTCAGGCCTACTAATTCCTAAAGATAACTTGCCTAAGAGCATATCTTTGATATGCAAACTAACCAATCAAAAGCCGTCTCTCTATCTAGCTTGTAGGTAGACCCCAGGAGGAAATACTCCACGGCCACACAGTAGGCAACTAGAGACTACTCCTACAGACCAAAGCCCTCCAGAATGACTCAACTAGCTTAACCCTAAACTGTTTACTCTGCCCTGCCTTCACTTTCCCTTGGGAAGCCTAATAAAGGCCGTTGCCTTAACCTTCCACTGGCTCCTGTCCCTTCTGCTGCCCCACCATCCTGGTGTTTTCCTCTGTGACACTGTGTGGCATAAAGTGACACCCTCTCTGAGACCACTGAGTATAATACAGGTCTTCCTTCCAAGACTTGTTCTTGCCTCCTCCTGTGGCTGGAGTGACTTTATCATACTTTACCCAATATTTTAAAAACAATCTCAGTATTTTAAAAATTGAAAAAGTGAAGCTGATTGTGTTAAAGTACAAGTAGAGGAATCCTTACTAAGTAGGTTACCCTTTTATAAATATTTCCCATTCTACAAATTTCTAATCTGAAGCAGATACTAAAAGTACTGCAAAAGGGATGAAAAACGAGTTTTATAGGCACACAGAAAGAAAAAACTAACTCTAATATAATATTGCCCTCTTTCTGGAGTGGATGGGGTGCCTGTGATTATAGTTTAAAAAGAAATCTCCTGGCCCAGCCAGAGTGGCTCAGTAGTTGAACATCAGCTTATGAACCCAGAGATCGTGGTTTGATATCTGGTCAGGGCACATGCCCAGGTTGCAGGCTTGATATCCAGTGTGGGGCGTGCAGGAGGCAGATGATCAATTATTCTCTCCCATCATTGATGCTTCTCTCTCTTTCTCCCTCTCCCTTCCTCTCTGAAATCAATAAAAAAATATTTTTTTTTAAAAAGAAAAATCTCCTGGTACACCCTCCTGGAGGCACACCATTCGAATCTACCATTCAGGTAATTTTTTCTTTCTCCTAAACTGTAAGGGTCCCCACAGGGGAGCAGCAGGCAGCAGCAGCTTGTTCTGAACTAAACCCCTGAACCTGTCTCCAGTGAGTTGACAGCAGCCCTGCCTAGGCTCTATCCTAGGCCTTTCCTTGTTTCACTGCTCCCAGCTTTAATAAATGTACTCTCAAAATAAAAAAATAAATCTCCTGATTTAAATTGTCTAACCACTATGCTGTACACCTAAAAGTAGTATTAACTGTAATTGAAATTTTAATAAAGAAATCCTATATAAAAGGCTAATATGCAAATTGACCAAATGGTAGAATGACCGGTCACTA